GTGCTACTGAAACTGTAGTCAGGGCTTCCAACCTACCCAACCCAGCCATGCTTCAGTTAGAAACCTGTCTCCAGACACCAATAAAATCAACACACACACACACATGCTCATACACACACACATACACACACACACATACACACACACACACACACACACACACACACACACATGCTCATACACACACACACACACACACACACACCAAGCAGCTGGGGTCATCAGACAGGAGGATGCATACTTTGTTGAACAGGCTGGCACGGGCAGTTCACTCCATCTCTGCCTCAGCTCACATGCACTGTGTAAGGACCAGCAGGACTGCATGGACTGCTGCTGTCTCACTAGAGTGAGAAGAGCAAGCCTGGGGACAGGGAAGGAGAGCCCTGGAATGTCAACAAGAGCTGTGGCCACCACAGAAAACAGCAAAAGGAAACAATAATTGCTGTGTGCTGCAGCTGACTGAATGTCCCCCAAAGGCCCATGTTTTAAAGGCTCAGTCCCCAGTAGAACCTAGGGCCTAGTTGGAGGTCCTGAGGTGACTGGCGTATGTCCTTGTAGGGGCCTGTGAGACCCTGGCTGCTCCCCCTTCCTCTCCTGCCTCCTAGCTCAGGCTGTTGGTGGTTTTCTCTGCCGCATGCTCCCATCATGATGAGCTGCCTTGACATCACTTCCTAGGATGCAATCAATCATCCATTCATGTCCTGGAACTTTCCAAACTGTGAGCCAAAATAAACCCTTTTAAAATAAGAGAATCATCTCAAGCATTCAGTTATACTGAATGGAAAGCTGGCTAATGTGTTGTCCGAGAGACGAAAATGATGCCTTCTTAGATTTCCACATGGCATCTGAGAGCTTTCCTATCGCTTGTCTCGTTTAGTCCTAACAACAACCCAGTGGAGTGGGCAGGGCAGGATTTGCTGTCCTTGTTTCATAAAGGGAGCTGAAGTAGGGCAAGTGTCCCTTTGAGTGGGACCACTGATAAAATGAGAGTTCATTAGGTGGCATGGCTGTCAGGTTGTCCGAGGGGAGGGTGGGAATGAAGGGACCGGACCCCGATCCGGGCCCAGTCTCTAGGCAGACCAGTGCGGGGCTGGTCTAGTTTTTGAAAAAGGTTTCGGATGTGAGCGTGTAGGAAAGACAGGGGATGAAGCACTAGAAACAGCGAGAAGGAAGAGCCAGGGCGGGGTAGCTCATCCGACCACCCTTCATCCCATGGCCAGGGAGCCCTAAGGAGGGGCAGTGCACGCGATTGTATAACAGGGGTCGCTGTGTGAGGGTTTTCTCTCCCTTTCTTAGAGGGACAGAGATGTCATTTATCCCCTAGGACATGGCGAGGTCCGTATGACCCTCAGGCCAGGATACCCAGGCTGCAGAACCAAGGCAGATGACCTGCCAGGGTTACAAAACAAACTTCCCAAGTGCCTGGCACCTCCAGTGGGGGAGGGGATCTTCATCCCTAACACACTGTGCTGAGGAAGCTGAATGGAAGACTGACAGGCTGGGCAGAGGTGGGGTCTACCCCTCTCCCCACCACAACGAATAGGGGAGAGGTGACATGGAGGAATGGCTGGTGCCTTACCTGCTCTCTCTCCTCCTCTTGGGGACTGAAAAGATAGTTACTTCCGATCTGCGTCAAGAGCTGTGTTGTTAAAGAGCACTCATAATTAGAGCAGGTAATTCCATCTTTAATAATCAGCCTGTTTGTCCCTCCAGCCCACTAAGCCCTCTTCCTCCCCCACCCCCCCATACCCATTTCTATTTCCATCCCCACCCCTCCCTGGCGGGAATTCCTTAAAGCAACCCTGCAAGCTTTCACGGTCATTTTTTCCCTTTCCAAACAGGCTGGGGCTGATGGTGGGCTTTTCTGTTGCCTTTGCCATTGGGAAGGTTCTCTCTGAGCAAAGGCTCCACAGGGCCAGAGAGAGGCTGGTTGGTAGTGTGGCTAGGTGTGAAAAGCCCCTACCCAGTCACCCTCTGGCTCAGCCCTCTTACTGGCCAGATAAGAGGGAACTTCTCCCCAAACCCTAAATGACAAGGCTCCATCCATCCGTCTGTCCTCTCCAGTGAGTGCAGAGAGGAGAAGACTGTTCTTCATGATGAATAGTCTCTGGCATGTCAGTGAGACTCTTGCCCTGCAGCGCCCAGCCCATGCCAGCCTTTGCCGTCTGCAGGTTGGCAGGGGCTGGAGGAACAGGCACAGATGGAGCACTTAAGGAATGGAGACCCCAGAGACGGGAGAGAAGTGGCAAAGCAAATTGCTTTAGCTGTTCCAGTGTGTGCTGTTTTCTTAAAATATCATTTTCATCAAAAAGCAAACCAAAATTTCCAAAGTCCTTAGCACTCAAAGGAAAAGGAAATCACTCTGAATCCATCCGCTCTGGGGTAGTTTCTAGGAGGCATTCGCTTATGGTTGTCTTTGCATATTCATATAAATCTTAATCCATGGAACAATTGGCTACAAGATACAAGTTTGTTTTGTTTTGTTTTGTTTTTTGTTTTTTTCTTCTTTCTGTTAGCCAATCTCTGTCTGGAGCCCCGGCTCCTGCTCCATTTCTGAGGAGCAGACACCTCAGCCCAGCTCAGAGTACACACAGCCACTGCCCTGGTACTGCAGTAGTCAGGGTCTGCCGCACAGGCAGAGGACCTCCCACTCATGAACCCGTCTGTACCCGCATCCACCATGCCGCTCACTGTGCAGGTGCTTCCATGAAGTCCCTCCTTCAGGTCACTGCTGCTCGGACCCTCAGCCCCACAGGAAACACCTCAAAACACAGCTGGCCTCTTTCCCACTCTTTCCCAGGCACTGGCCTGGAAGTCCCCAAACCACTTCACAGGTAGAGGCTGCAACCCAAGCCCAGTGCTCAGGTAAACCTATGGGATCATCCAAGACCTCATACATGGTGGGGCTAGGAAGGCCAGCCATACTCTTTACAAATCGTCAGGAAAAGCACTTTCTTTCCCTGCATCCCGAGTCCCCATACCATCTGGGTTTCTGTTAGCCATCCTAAGGCAGAGAACCCCTCAGTCTCCTCTCACTGACCACCCAATATATAAGGCCCCTGTATCTCCCAACCAACTCTCTCTTCTAGGTACCCTCGCCAAGATCTGGGGAGTGGTTCCTAACTTCAGGGATGGGAAATGTTGCCACCATTCAGGGCTGTCAGTGAGGTTAAGCAGTGTGTGCATGGCACGAAGAAACCTGCAGGAAGGTGGGGTTGAGGCAAGGCGCCAAAGAGAA